AGTATTTGACCACTCCTTGACCCTCAGATACGGGTGGGAAAAACAGCTGTTGAAACTAATTGAGTTCTTCTGTATAAAAAGGCAGAGCTAAAATAAACTGGGGCTGCAGTCTCTACTGACAGTCCTCCCAAGTATCTTTTCTGTCTCTTGTTTTTTCTTTCAATCCTCACTCCCCCTTTCAGGTACTGTCCGTCTTGGCCAGCTGGCACCGGCACGAGAGCTGTAAGACATTTGTCAAGGAGAGCTGCATACAGGGGCCTGGTACCAGCCCAAGAGAGAGATGTACATTTCAGGCAACAAAGCTGGAGGGAAGGGGATATAAAGATGATTAAGATGTTCTGTATGAAATACACAAAAATTCAATTAAAAAAATATGGGGGAGGAGCATTTTAGAATGCTATCACTCAGAAAGTAATCTTGATTATCACTTGGATGGTCTTAGAATCACCTAAGAGATGGTGAGGCTAACATCTGGATGTTAGGACATTTCTAGAAATGATTAACTCAGGGATGAAGACTGCTCATGTTATGTGGATGTCACAGTCTCATGGGTTGGGGGCTCAGATAGTATAAAATGGAGGAGGGGAGCCAGGTGAGCACCAGCATTCCCCCTTTTCAGCTTCTTGGTCTGCCACAATGTGAAGCACTCTACTCTGTCACACCCTCCCAGCCATAATGGACTAAACTCTGAAACTATGAGCCAAAGTCAATCTTTCCTCCTCTAAGTTGTCTATTTCAGGTATTTTTGGTCACAACAAAAGGCTAACTGATACATTGTTCAAAAATTTCCGAATTACATTGAATTAGTCCTTGTAGGGGGCAGAGGGGTGATGCTTATCTCATTGTTTTGAAACGGGCTTACTATGTAACCCTGTGCATAAGCATATATGTAGACTCAGAGGTTGACATCAGGTACCTTCCTCAATTGCTCTCTATCTTATATATCAAGGCAAGGTCACCTGAATCCTGAGCTCAAAGAGCTAGCCACCTTTATCCAAGGACCCCTCATCTTTGCCTCCAGAGTGCTGGGATTACAGTTGGGTTATCATGCCTACCCCACCACATTTACAGGGATTCTGAAGATCCAAACGCTTGTCCTCACCCTTACAAAGCATTTTATCCACTGAGTCATCTTCCTAGCTCGTGAAAATGTTTTTGAACATGGAAGAATATTCATTCTTAAAGATCCACAAATGACATAACAGCATAATTTTTCTTGTAATATTTAGCCATCAGAGCATAAATAGGGACTTAATTAAAATTAAAGACAGAAATTCTTAAATTTCCCTAAAAACAGCTCCATAATGTCCATTGAAAGCATACCACTCTATTAACAGGACTGTCATGATAACTAAACACCTGATTAGATAAATATGAAAACTAACTTTTCACAACCTTCAGAGAATGGGGCATGTAAAGGAAAGAATACTTTTGTGAAATGTATCCATTTTAAGTCATACCTATAAATACTTTGTAAACTGTAATTAATATTTTCTTGAAGATTCACTAACTTCTTTATAAGAAGATGAGCTATAAAGATATATTATAAAATAACTAAGCCTTACTTGAAGATTTAAATGGAAAAAAAAAAGAAATCAAAGGAAGATAGAATTGAGAAGAGAACACATGAGGATTCTCAGGTTCTCCTTGACAGACATTTCTGGCCTCAAGCCAAGAAGAGAGGCAGACTTGGAACAGGAACCTCCAGCTCCACTCTTACCTGTGCATACTCTCTTTCAATAGCAGCCTTCTTCTGACTGAATGTCCTAAAAATACAAACAAACAATCATTATCAAAATTATAACCTAAAAACTTCATGCAAATATATTAACACACTGTCAACTACTGGCTGGTACGATGTGTGGGGGAGAAAGAATTTTCTTCCTCTTTATGAGCTAAGAATACAGGAAACTGCTACCGACATGGTCTCTGCAGTTAGACAATCTACATTCAGAGTCCAGCCATACCATTTGCTGCACAACCTTAGACAAGTCACATGAATTTTTCTGTTGTACTTTCACCTTCATAAAATGGGATAACAGTACTCACTTCAGAGGGATTCTGTAACTTTAGGTATTTGAAAACTATAAAGTGCTTAAAAATAGTATCTAGCATACAATAAATCCTACATAAATGTTAGCTACAATTACAAGAATAGCTATTACGTGTTATGTAAAAATGTGGGCTGGTGAGATTGCCACCAAGCCTGATGACCTTAGTTTGGTCTCTGGCACTGATATGGTAGAGGGATAGAACCAACTCCTAAAAGTTGTCCTCTAACCTCCACATGAATGCCATGACACTCATGGGCCCACACACATACACATGAATGAATGAATGAATGAATGAATGAATAAATCAATCAAATAAATAAACAATACAATACAATACAATATAATGTTTACCCACTCTAACAATCAGCATAGTTCAAGGAACTAAAAAAAATTTTTGATCACCTGCTCCTCAATAAGAAAAATCAACAAATCATTTCCTTTATTCCAGTTTTTCACAGGAGTTACAGTACAAAGCACAAGGTCACTAAAAGCTGTAACATACTTTCTATATATCTATTATTTCAGAATTTATTGTTCATATTCTTCGTATTTTAACACTTATGGCTGGGCACAACAGTATATGCCTACATCCCAACTACTCAGGAGGCTGAGGCTGAGGCAGGAGAACTGCTTGAGCCCATATGTTCAGGATTTGCCTAGGCAACATAGCAATATCCCTGTCTCTTAAATAAGAGTAAGTAGAAAGGGGGAGGACCACTAGGACAAGACAAAAGACAAGAAGCCAAAATTATCATTTGAAATTTAATCAAGTTAAGCAATATGACTGTTGATTTAAAAATTCAACTACTCGGGCCAGGTGTGGTGGCACACGCCTGTAGTCCCAGCACTTGGGAGGCAGAGGCAGGAGGATCTCTGTGAGTTCAAGGCTACCCTGGTCTCCATAGTGAATCCAGGATAGCTGGGGCTACAGGAAGACCCTGTCTCAAAAAAGACAGGAAAAAAAAAATTTCAACTACTCAATATCTTTCATTTTTTAGTGAATAAGTAGTTATTAACGTTAAAAATAACAAAAGGAAAAACTCTCACTTTAAACATTAAGATTCACTAATATTAACAATACTTTAAAGGGCAAATAATTCCTATGAATTTGAGGATAGACTACATAGTGAGTCCCAGGCCAGCCTGGGCTATAGAATAACACTGTCTTTAAAAAAATCAAATGGCCAATAATAATATAAACAAGATTCTATGCAATGAATATTCTAGGGCAAGGGAAATGGCTCAGTTGGTGAAGTACTTGCTATGCTAGTAATGAACTGAGTTCAGAGCCCCTGAACCCATCTAACAGCTGGATGCAACAGCACACAAGCCACTTGTAATCCCAGTATGCCCCAACTGGGAAACAGGAGGCAAAGATAGGAAAATCACCAAAAGTTTGTGGGCCAGCTAGCCTGGCATACACAGCAGTGACCAAGAGAGATGCTGTCTCAAACAAGGTATAAAGGAAGGACCAACACGTGAAGTTCTTTGACAAGTGACTTGGCATATGTGCACCCACAGTATCACATACACAGACTGACTGACTGACTAATCTCCAGTGCATTCAAAAGCTAAGCAACAGGATTAAGAACTGTCGTATGAAATGTACAAAAGCTGAATAAAAAAAAAATTTTAAAGTTAAGCAACAGGGAAAGATTCTAGGAAGATGGTCTATGAAGAATCTCCAGGAATCTGTCACCAACCTAGACAGCAATGGCACTGGCAGAGGCAATCTCATGTAACCATTTTGAAACCATGGAGTCAATAGAGGGCATGTGACTTCCAGGGCAGGCTTGGATAATAAACATTCAGTTTTAAATCTTAGCACAGTAGGAGCCACCAACCTCAAACCCTAAGACTTTGGCAGGCAGCCATGTGTATGTTCCTGAAGCAGCTTATAAATGGCAACCAGAGCCAGGATGAGCAAAAATGAACCCTGTTGAGCTCTGATCACAGAATGATGCTTCTGATCATAGAAGTCCAGACAAAGAAGGGCCAACCATTGTTGCTGACCTCCCGCACACTGGTATGAGTTCCTCTTCCTCTGGCCGAAGAGACTTCCAGAGAATTTAAAAGACTGGTGGGTTTTCTTTCTTCATTCCTCTTTTTCCCCTGTTGGGAGCTAGACATTAAAGGAGAACACATTCAGAGCAACTGTTGGGGCTAGAGAAATGGGTTTGTGTTTAAGAGCACTGGCTGCTCTTGCAGAGGACCAGGGTTTGATTCCCAGCATCCACATGGTGGCTAACAACTGTCTGTAACCCCAGATCCAGGGGATCTGATGCCTTCTTGTGGCCTCCGTGGGCAGTGTACACATGTGGTGCACTTACATACACGCAAGCAAAACATTTATACACAAAAAAAATTTTTTTTAGTAAAAGTGACTGTATATACAGGAAGAATCAGGAAGTCACTGAACATGACCAGGAGAAGGTACAGATTCAGAAAAGACTTAAAGACCTTATGTTAACATCACAGGCTAATCCTAGGCACAGACAGCTCTGACAATCAATCAATCTAGACAGGAACTCTGGAGAAGAAGGAAAATCTGATTTGTAGAATTACCACATTATTACATCCAAATGCTCAGTTTTCTACAAAATCACCAGTCTTACAAAAATACAGAGTAGTATGACCCAATAAGGGGAAAAATATAAATAAACACAAATTAGATCTGATAGATCTACTAGACAAAGACTTTAAAACTGTAGCCTTAAAGATGCTCAACAAATTAAAAGATTACATGGAAAAAGTAAATTAAATGTGATCAAAGTAAAACATCAAATGCAGGGAAAAATGAGAAATTTACAGCTAGAAATGTTTGCATTACAAAAGAAGAAAGAGAGGCAGACATGATGGCATACACCTTTAATCCCAACATTCAGAAGGCAGAGGCAAGTGCATCTCTATGAGTTTGAAGCCAGGTTGGTTTACATAGTGAGTTCTGCCAGGACTAAATAGTGAGACCCTGTCTCTAAATATATAGAGAGATAGATATAGATAGATATAGATATATAGATATAGATATAGACAGACAGATCATTATATATTATCTACCTACCTACCTACCTATGAATGAAAGAGCCAGGCATGATAGCACATTCCAGTAATCCTTGCACTTAGAAGTCTGATGTGGAAACAAAACTGAAAGTTCAAGGCCAGTCTGGGTTATATACAAAGAACATGCCCCTTCTCCAACACACCTATTCAAAAGTAAAAAGCATGTTGGCCGGGCATGGTGGCACACGCCTTTAATCCCAGCACTCGGGAGGCAGAGGCAGACAGATCTTGTGAGTTCAAGGCCAGCCTGGTCTACATAGTGAGTTCCAGGACAGCTGGGGCTACAGGGAGACCCTGTCTCAAAAAGACAAAAAAAAAAAAAAAAAAAAAAAAAAAAAAACCAAAAAAAAAAAAAAAAAAAAAAAAAAAAAAAAGAGACCTAGAAAAAAGAACAAACTGTTGGGAAGATGGCTCAATCAATAAAGTGTTTACCATACAAGCATGAAAACCTTAGTTTAGATCCCCACCACCATGTAAAAGAGCCAGGCACAGTTGTGCACTTGCTTGTGACCCCAACACCAGAGAAACAGAGATAATATTCCTTGGGCTTACTGGAGAGCTAATTAAAATCAGTGAGCCCAACGTTCAGTGAGAGACCCTGTCTCAAAAAAATAATGTGGAAGGACTGGAGAGAGCACTCAGTGGTTAAGAGCACTTGCTGCTCTTGTAGAGCACCCATGTTTGGTTCCCAGCACTCACATGGCAGATCACAACCCTCCATAACTCCAATTTCAGGGAATCTGATGCCCTATTCTGATTTCTATGAATACCACATGTATGTGATATACATACATACATGCAGGCAAAACACTCCTACACTTGAAATACATATAAAATTTTAATTTAAAAAACAGTAATGGAAGCTTTCTTGGGCCATGGGATTATAGGCTTTTGTTTTCTTCTCTTGCTTTTTCTTTCTATAATTTCTGATATTCAATAAGAATTTGCATTAAGTTTGAAGGAAAATAAAGTTATTTTAAAAAATAAGTACACATTCATAAACATAGGAAGACAACTTTTGAGACCATGTTTTTCTAAAACTGAATTAGAAATGATTATGACTAGTGCTACCAGATCTGTTATCTCCCCACTCAGTACAAACACCCAAGCAAAGGAAGCTAACAAAAGTGAACTGTATCATAGTGTCACCATTAAAAACATCTGGAAAATCTGTCAATAGGTTTTATAAGAAGTAGGAATTTTTCCAAAGGGCCAGTGGCCCCTTGGGTCATGGCCCTCTTTCACCCTTTAAACTGCTTCATTTTAGTCGATAATAAACTATCTCTACACTAAAGAAAAGGTAGTGTTTTTCATATTCTACAAAAGAGAAAGCAAATATTTAAATTATGTGTTACCCTTTTAAGCTTAAATATAACTCAAGCTAATAAGGACAACTTGAGCCAGGTGGGATGTGCCAAGCCTGACAACCTGAATTCACTTCCCAGAACCCATATGGTGGAAGGATAGACTTGCACAAGTTATCCTCTCACCTCCACACTCACACCATGGTACAGTGTACGTACACACACACACACACACACACACACACACACACACAAATAAATACATGTTTAAACATTGTTTAAGGAGAGTCATGTGAAGTCTGAGCATAAAGAAACTATGTCTATTATTCTGAAATTGCACATCAACTA